TAAATATATATATTTCAGAGAGGAAGGGAGAAGGAGAGGGAGAGAGAGATAGGAACATCAATGATGAAAGAGAATAATTGATTTGCTGCCTCCTGCACACCCCACACTGGGGATCAAGTCCACAACCTGGGCATATGCCCTGACCAGGAATTGAACCGTGACCTCTTGGTTCACAGATCGATGCCCAACCACTGAGCCATGCTGGCCAGACTAAGCATCTGTACTTTTAACAGACCTTGCAGGTGACTGAGGGACACACCCAGGTGAGAAATTTGGTCTTGTGAAAACTCTGGCCTCCAGCACTTGCATCGTTTGGGCTGCCACAATCCTAAGAACATGCCTCTTTCCCACAGGTAGGCTCCTCTGGGCTCCCAAGTCGGGCTTTGTACCGTCCTCCTCTACGCCTCGCTCCCTGTGTACCCCTGCAAAACGCCCATGCTCTGCGAGGCTCCGGTTCCCCATCCTTAACTAGCGAATAATGGTGTCTTCCCGCCCTGAGGATGAACTGGGGCTGTGTACAAAGCAGGCTGCCGGCACAGATAGATGCAAAATAACTGTCTACTATTCATTATATCATCATTGCATGCTGATGGACAGACATACTTCCCTGGGGGGACGTCAGAGCCCCCACTTCTGGAGCCTGTCCCGGAGGTGGCCTGACCCTGGGAGGCCTCAGTGCCCTCTGCCAGGCTCTGATCCCACAACATTCAGGTGGGCAAGAAGGCACTCAGCCCTCCAAACCCCAAGAGGGAGGGAAAGAGCCAGCTTGGCCTTAGGCTCTTAAAACTACTTAAACTGGCAAGTGTCTCTGTTTTAAATCGAGGCCCATTCCTGGTGCAGATGCTGGAAAGCGATTTCATGGAGCGCTCAACCTACAGGGCTCAGCCGGCCCCGCCCAGGAGGACCTGGGGTTATCTGTACCCCGAGGCAGAGTACCCGAAAGTTTACTTTTGTATCATTTATTATTGTGTTGTTTGTATTACAACGGCAGACCTACTTTCGCCAACCCCTGTGCTAGCTTCGAACACCGTGTCTTCCCTTCATGAGCGCCCCAGGTTCCAACCACCTCTCTGGGCAGCCCACCCCGATTTCGGGGACACGCACAGGAGAGGTGAGTGCTAGCCAAGGGCTCCGGCCTCCTTCCCACCAAGGTCGGGGCCTGGGACCCG